TGAACCGATTTCTAAATCTGATACAAATAAATATTTTCTGTGCTAAGGTTTAAAACATTTAATAAAAAAAGCAAAATCAGTACACCATGTGGAGAGCAAATGTTGTTAGGGTTATTTTTTCTTCCTTTGGTCTTATTTTAAACATAGGGTAGTGGTGCCCCTAGCCTCTTGTGGCTGAAAAGAGTATTGCAACAACAAACACTGAAGGTGAACAGAGACCAGAGGCCTGTACGACGAAGCCGGTTTTTCGCTTAGCGGGCCAACTTCAGGGAAAACTTGGGGTTGGGATGCTGGTTTTCTTTTTAGCGGGCTAGATCTCCATGGTAACTTATGCTGAGCGGCTAACCTGGTCCGGAGCATGTTAGGTTGCAGGCTAAGAGATCAAGTCAGTGAAAGCTCCGCCTGCGGATCAATCAGAGCTCAGTGTGCGGAGTTTAAAGCGATCAAGTCATATTACAGGAAATGGAAAAGGAAAGGAAATACAGTTTAAAGTGGACCTATCATGCTATATTTGAATAATATATTGTAGGGCCATACCTATATAAAACATGTCTGGGAAGTTTTTTTTTCACAATACCAAAGAAATCATGCATTTTAGCAATAAATAACAAAGAAGACCTTTGACCGGCACTTTTCCAATTTTGTCTGGAAGATTTAAACTTTAACGGACATGTTGACCGGCGAAAAAAAAATCTAACTGAAACTCTCCCCTGATAGGTTGAGAGTTGCCCATATAGGCAGAGCACCCCTTTTCTGACGTCAGAAAAAGTAACGTTTGTATCAGCTCCATTGCAGCCCCGTTTTTAGAGATTTGGGTATGGAGGAAAAGAGAGAGGGTTGTGTTTTCTGACACTTGGTGAGTTCCCTGACACACTGGGGACACATATTCATGTATAAAAGACGTACAAAGGTGCATTTTGCATGATAGGTCCCCTTTAAACTGCCGTTGCAGGAAAGACGGCTGGCAAAAATCACCGACTGTGTGAACGTGAAAATGAATATTATATCACCTCCCATCTTCAGAGCAATCCGACTTATTATAACATTAGCGTTAAGAAAGCTCACTTAAATATCTGCCACAACATAAGAATCCTGATCAAAGTAACATTACGTACAGTCCGCGGCACTGTGAGTGCAGACCTCGATGTGTCCCATTATCATTCATATCACATCATATCACAATGTATCATATATTTCCTTATCTGAGTCAGCTGAGCCGTATCTTGCTGTGCAACACTTACAGTGTCACATACTGTATGCAGAAGTATTATTTTAAGCAACACATTAAGTTGACGAAACACTTGAGTCAAATGTAATCAAAGTCAGATCCACTCGTGTCTTAGACGGGGCAGTGATATCATAAACCTGTTAATGTACGCATTCAAACACTTTTTCTTTTACCAGCTGTATTCACCTTGCAGGTTATGTGGCTATGGCTATGGCTGTGGCTATGTGGCTTTTATCCTGTATTAAGTGTTTAAGTCATGGATGTTTAAAGTTTAACATCTTCATATTTGTTTAATATTATAGTTACTTTTCATTCAGGAAGTATGACGCGCTGTCAGTACGCTTGTCCATGTTTGTGATTGGTCGAATTCTCCAAATGCCACCCCTTTCATGTGAAGGCGCACCTAACTAGATAGGACACGGCTGGCTTGAGCGATCCACTTGATAACCCGCTTCGTAGGACTGCCTAGAAAGAGGGCGTATGTTTTGGAGTAGGCCAACCGGCTAACTCAAACATATCCAGGTTATGTTGAACCGGTTTCGTCGTACAGGCCTCTGATGAAAATGTTTACTCTGAAAACAAAACTGACAAATCCAATTGGAAAATATTGACATTTTTTTGAGATTGCAAAAACCACATTTTTCTTGTTCTTGTAGAAGCATTTAATTAATGTGTTGCTATCTGTAAATTAACCACCATTTGCTCAGAACCCACCCTAGCTTTAAGTCATAAACACCAGAAGAAGGACCAATTTAAATCAGACGTGCAAAAAGTGATCCCCAGAACTTTCTTTTGCTCACTTGCCTCTCTGGGCTTCCGTACATCTCAATATCTCTTTACATCATTGTTTTGTACATGTTCCATATTACATTGTCTTTACATTTATGTTTTCCACTTCTGATTTTTAGACATCCTCAAGCTGTTCAACCCCACCCTGCTGGGTGCCGCTCCGGGGAAGACGGTCCACGGCATGCAGGCTCATATCAGTGAGACGGGCTTCAACCTGGCTGTGACGGGACACAACACCTTGTAATGACTCATCATCCTCCTGTTTTCATTCTTATTCATTATTGATCATAATGCTTAGACACATAGTATGTTCTGTCTTCATATAGCAACCTTCCTAGTCAGACGAGACATTTGATCGACACCCTGAGAGGTTATGAGGTACAGTATTTGCCTGTTATCTTCTAAAATGTAACAACCAAGCAATGAAAGAGTTAATAAATCAGGTTATAAAAGCCCTGTGGCAAAATGCTGAACCTGTTTTGTATTCACCAAATGTTCTCTCTAACCCCTCCGTTATCTTTTTCTCCAGGGTCTGAACTTCGAGGAGGACTGGAAGCTGTTGACCATCCTCATGGGCATGAATGACATCTGTGATTACTGTAAAGATAAGGTCCGCCTTCTTTTTAATAAGTTTAGTTCAACAGATCAATGTCTTTTTAAAGAAGGAAAAATGTTCATAATGAATATCTGCGATGTTCTCTCTAGGCTCTATTTTCAGTGGATAACTTCATTCACTATATCACCATATCCTTGGAAATGCTCATGAATGAGGTAAAGTGAAAGAATACATTGTAACACATTAGTTGTGAATGAGAGTTCAGTCAGACTTCACTGCAGCGTGGTTTTCTCCTCCATGCTTCAGGTTCCTCGTATGATCGTCAATGTGGTTCAGATCCTGCCCATGCAGACCCTGAGGGAGGTGCAGAAGCCCACACCGGGGTGCCGGCTCCAAAGGTGAGCCACTCATTCGTAACAGGAATATTGTTCAAAACATGTTTGGTTTGTATTGTTACTTATTACTTGTCACCTATAGGAACACATATTATCTCTTGTCCTGATCCATCTATATAAAAGGCCTGTCTGAAAATGAGCTGATCAGATTTTGGCCACTTTGTGTGTCACTATGTTTCTTTTGGGTTGTGCAACCATTAGCCAATCACCACCCGCTGACCTTAGGCACGTTCACACCGGACTACTTTTCCCCGTACTTTGCCTGTTTAGTTCCGTTAGTGCCTGGAATTTTGCGTTCACACAAAAAAGAGTACTTAGTTCCGAGAACTTTTACCCCCAATTTTAGTGCCTGCTAGAGAGGTGGTACTATCCTAATAATACTATTTAGATTGGCTGGGCGAATTGCAAACCACGCCCCGTAAACTTGGAAAAGTTTTGTGAAGCCGCCATTGTATTTGTTGGCATTATTAGCATTAGCATTAGCCCCGCGCACCAACGGAGAGAGAATAACTTATGGCAACACAAAAAAAAAACATGGGATCGGTGGAGTGATGAGGAGGCATCGCGGTTCTGGCAATTTACTGAAGCCAGTCCCCTACTCCGGGGACTTCGGGTGGCAGTATACGCCGTGAAGTGGTTTGCGGCCTGCCAGTAAACCCAAAGCAGAAGACGACAAAGTGATGTCAGCGGCTCATTTGCGTAATCTTCCCTCAGGGAACTTATTCCGGTGTGAACGCGATCTGTACTTAGTTCCATGGGGGCACTAAGTACGGCAAAGTACTTAGTGCTAATGATTGGCTTAACATTTAGGATTAGCTTTGTATTGAATTACCAATTAGGTACTTACGTTTTGGGGTTAAAATAAATGTCTCCCCAAAGCCTCTTGGCAAACTCATTGTAGTTGATGTCACCTGCAAACACAAAGAGAGGAGTTAGTTGACCTCACTAACTTTATTAAGCATGAAGTGAGAAAAGATGTGCTAGTTTAAGAGATCATGTGGCAAAGAGTCTTACCATAGGTGTCAGAGTAGATCTTTGCAAAGGACCCCAGAGTGAAACAGACACTGTACATAGAGCTGGCGAAGCACACATTTCCCAGCAGAGGAGACACCACCAAGTTCTCATCTGTGGAGTATGTGCTGTAAAGGAAGAGAAAACAACCATGAAGTGTCTGATTTAGAACTGAAAGTGTTAGACAAAAAACTATTAAACAACTGAGATCATTGGCAATCACTTTGATAATAAAATAATCAGTGGTCATGTTAAAGCAGAATTGGTCAGCCTATTTAAAGAGAGGATGTTATACTTTTAGTCTTTATAGACTGAACTGTTTTAATATAAATTAAAATAACTGCTTCCCTCCAACGCAAACCATATGAAGCCTCTCATGCACACCTGACATTATGAGTTTCAAGCATTACCTGAGCAAACCATTGACCTCATCCACAATGTGGCGAAGTTTATAATAAGCATCTGTTGGAGGCAACTTCAGCTCTCCAATGAGGCGGTCCACCTTATTGATGCAGATGGTGATGGCCATACGCTCCTGAACTGCATGTTTGATCAGGCGCTCTGTGTTCAGCATCACCTGGGCAGAAATACACACAAGTTATATGGAGGGTTGAAGAAAAATGACAAATGTGCAGAGAAACACTTTGATAAAAATCTAAAAAGTGAAAATAAGTGACTCACTCCTTCTGCTGCGTCTATGAAGAGGACAACACCGTCTGAGAGGCGGATGCTAGACGTGACTTCATCAGAGAAGTTTACGTGACCTTTAGGAGAGACAGAAGGTGTAAGATCCCGTACACTGCTGTACCAAACATATATTCAGTAAACAAAGCAGTCTTCTGTGCCCAATACCTGGTGTATCCATGATGTTGAAAAGATAGGATTTGCCTCTGGAGTCTGGCAGCACCATTGTGACCGGGGTGCTCTTGATACCAACTCCTCTCTATGAAAAAAACATGAAGTCAAGACGTTTAGTGGCTCAAATTCGCTTGTTGTTTACAGTCCTCTGCTATCCTATATTGTGGTAAGCCAATGTACTTTAGGATATGATAATTATGCCACAATAAAAAGAAAAACTCACCTCCTGTTCTGTAAAGAGGATGTCTGTGTATCGAAGCTAAAAAGAACAAAAGTCATGTTAGTTTCTGCTTTCTTATGCAAAATGTAAGTGAAATATAACAATGATGTGATGTTATAAGATTAGTCCACACTCACATCCACATCATCTCTCTTCCTGATTTCTGGGTGGGTTTGTTCAATCAGGCAGTCCACAAAACAGGTCTGAAAATCATTTAAAAAAACAACATTACATTTCTATGAGTGACATATCAGTTTAAAGTGCAGCCATGATATTAGCATATGCTACCAAACACTCCTATCATCTAAAATGTGTCATTTAAAGAACACGTCCTCTTCAGCAAAATGCCTTAGAGCACTGAGCCCTGTTTAAAGGTTAGAAGGAGATACTGATCAAGAAGTAGTAAGAAGTCAAGACTCTAACCTTGCCGTGGTGAAGGTGACCACACAGGGTCACGTTACGAATGAGCTCAGGACCGTCCATCAGATCAGCAAGGAATCTGCCAAGAGAGAAGGGTTTCATTATCACAACTTGAAAGACACAATGAACAGATGTATATAGAAGATATGTACTGGGAAATACACAACATCAGGTATTTAAAAATATATATCAAATAAAAAGATAAAAGTAATCATCTCAAAGGTTGACTTACTCCATATCATAAACAGTGGCAGGTAACTCCTGCTCCGTCAGGGTGAACCGCTTGTTCTTCACAGGCTTGATGATGGGCTCTGGAGTGGAGAGAAATCAAAATTATTTGCGTGCTTACTTTGATATCATATGATTTACTGCCATCCACAACCATTATACATTTGTGAAAGCATGTTAATGAAATAACTCAAAACTATGCACATTATTGTAAATAAAGCCAAAACAAACATCACTGCCCTTTGTATCTAACCTGTGAGAGGCTGTGTGTCTTCCTCTTGGACAATGGTTTCCACTTCGGGCCCATAAACCTCCTCTGCCGTAGGATAGTACTTCTTGTCTTCATGCAGGACCACCTCCATACCCGGGACATCTTCATCAGCATCAGCGGGCTCATCATCATCATCTTCATCAGCCTGTACAAAGAAAGTTATTACCATGACATAGGAGGACAAACTGGATAAAGGTACCAGAGTACTAACTATTCATAAATGTTAACAGTGGCTTTAAAGTGTACCTCATCAACATCTCTGTCCTCTGCGTTCAGATCATCTTCATCATCGTCAGAGTCCAGCTCTGGACCGATGTAGTTTCCAAACTCATCATACAGATCAGCCTCCATCTTTAGAGAACTGAAAGAGGTGTCATGTCAGCATTTGTGTGATTTTTTTGTATTATTGTCAAGGTCAACAAATGAATGAAATGACAATAACATGTTTTTAAAGTTAAATGTGCAATGATGTTACTTTTTGAGCTGAATATTTTTTTATGTGGACTTTCTTCAAATGTTGGTGATGTTTTTTTAAATGTCAGCAATGGTTTTGTTCAGTGTTTGTGCTAAATGTCTTGTACTACAATACCACAATGTGTTCTCTTTGTCTTCTAACTTCTTAGGACCATATTGGAAATATGACATTTTAAAATAAGCAGGGAAATCATTTGAACATTTGTTTTTGCATCTGATAAAACATGAATACATGTTTAAAAAAAATCAACCCAATACGAAAAGACATTGCTACAACATTTCAGACGTAAAATAAATATACATTTACTTAATTCATTAAGGTCTTTCTACCTTTCTCCAAGTAGAAGGTAGTTGAGAACGGATACTAATGGATGCAACTGGGATTATTTACCATTAATTGTGTTTAGATCAACACATTCTATTGTATTATGAGATAGAAGTGTTTAATTAACTCTTTGATTGTTTTTTTTAGAACCAATGATAACAGCTAGTAACGTTAGGTAAGTTACCACGAACGCAAATGCTAACTTTGCACCTAGCACAGCATGCACTACCAACATTTAGGTATATTTTCAATCTTTTGGATGCTTTTCGTCGACAAAAACTCCTACAAAAATTAGCTGCAGGTAAGAAAAAATGTCGATCCCATAAACTGTTGTCTTCTCATGTATATGTTGTTATAAGCCAACAAAACTAGCCTGCTAGCCCGCTAACAAGTAAAGAAATGAATGACTTGGAGGCGACGTTTCAGTTACGTCGTTGTTTAGCTAACGTTAGCTTACAGGGTTAATTTAGAACTTGCGTGTAACAAAATCGACTTACCTATATTCTCTTATAATGCAGTCAGCAAATAATATTTTCAAAACGATTTAAAAGTTGGGTCTGTATTTCAGAAGATAAATAATTTCCTAAATAGCGCCATGCGTACGAGACACCACTTCCGGTTTTCTTCTTCTGTTGATCTGAGGGCGTCAGGTTGTGGGTGTTCAACGGATGACTCACTACCGCCGCCATTGGTGGAGATTTTAGACGCTGGAAAGTAACTGAATCGAGTCTTTAAAGCATAATTCCAACTTGATTTGCCTTACTAAGACTCCCATAGTACGATGCAATTGCTGGAACTCAAGATTCTTATCAAAATCGTAACACAGGTCAATTCAACACTTTTGTCAAATGTAAAAGTTTTATTTTGAATTCCTTCCCCGGAAGTGGTAGCATGCTATAATGTCTGCCTTGACCTATGGCCTTGACGTGTGTAGTAGTGTGTGTAGCATCTAGCGCCCTCCAGTGGTTACGGTGCACAACTACAGTTTAGTTTGTTAAACATTTTTGATAAGGGTCGGTCCCCTATTATAAAGATGTTGTATTTTGCTAAGGCCGGGTCCTCCCTTATATATAAAAAATAGTTGTTTGATAAGGGTCCCCCCTTATACAAATGATACTCTTTTGATAAGGCATTTGGGCATTTGGGTTTTCTTTCCCAATAACCAGAGATAACAGTGATTTTCTTCCAAACCAATTGCAATTATTTCACATTTCATCTCCTCAATGGTTGGATAATTTGTCATTTGGGAAATCCTGCAGTTATCCTCCAAATTAGAGGTTTCTCATAGATGTGTATTATTTTTGCATTAACTTACATTTCCATTTTAGCGTCACATTAGTATTTACTATTGTATTGATATTATTGATAACATTTTCCGACTTCCACCAAGAGTATTTCACTTTACATTTAACTGCGCATTAGGCATAGATGCCACGAATATACAGCTCTGGAAAAAATGTCTCTGTGTATGTTATTCATTTAACAGACACTGGAATGTGATGGCTGCCATACATGTAGAGATTGAGATTAAAGAAATATTTGGAGCGCTCTCTTAATTTTCCCGGAGCGGTAGCCTATATTGGAATCATTACACTGCGCATTAAATACATGCATCGACCCGGTTGATGAGGCAGAACACTTTGCATTATGTTGTTTTCCCCTCCGGCGAGCGCTTTCACAATAAAACGTTTAACATGACCGGAGGCTGTAGTTACACCTTGTGACCACAGGAGGGCAATGAATATGCAAAAATGATAAAATGGACTACAGTAAAGTGTTTTATCAGATGAAGTCCTATTAACCTGTATAAACGATTTAATGGGCTTTGAATGAGTCTTATACATTGCCTCTTACCTGCCAGATAACAGTTTAATTGAAATAATGTATAGAAAAATGTATGATTTATGAATATTGAAATACTTCGTAATATATACATATAATATTCTTTAAAAACAGGCATATATTATTTTAGAAGCAGAAACTTAATTAGAATTAACCCTCATAAAGCTATTTAACTCCAATAAGGGTTAAACGAATGAGGCAATAGAAGGCCTTTAGCCTTGATTTCATAAGTTTGCTATTATGGTCTTGTTTATAAGACTATACACATCTAGTAACTTGTGCATAATGTATAGTTGTTGTGTGCACGATTTGTATAGCAATAATGTACCTTGCCTAAAACTTCAGAGAGGAAAGCATCAAAAAAAGTACTGATGTTCAAATGTAAAATATGGCTTTTCTATGGTATATAGACTAGCTATATGAATTATTCCACATTGATGTCGATGAGGTTGATGATAAATTCAGACAGGGTTTCAGTTGATGGCTTTATTCCTGCTGGTGTAATTTCTTTCTCAGTAGGCCTGACCTACACAGTTAACACACAACAGACATAAACAAGTAAGACAAACAAACAACAACATACATTTCTACATTAGACAACTCTAAGAATCATGTTGACAGAAAATATTGTTTGGTCATCATGTAGATCTCATATAATGCCCATCAGATGGCACGTTACTCAAATGTTATATATTGAGACAATTTCATATTCAAAGAAATGCAGATTAGAAAATACAATAGATATAAAAAGCAACCCGTCACTTAAAATAACCATAAAATGTAATATTGCTTTTGAAAAGGTAGCACACTAGTTAAAAGCACCATGTCCCATTAAATTAAAGTAGCCTATTTCTAATGCAAATACCCCAACTTTTTTAAAGCAATAAGCTACCCTTATTTGATATTATTCTTTTTTAAATACAACAAAGCATTTGATTTTACATTGATTTTCTCTCTTTGGTTACAGTATCATGTCTCTAATCATTAACCTGCTGTTGATAACCCTGGCCTCTGTTCGGAGTGACCTCCTGACCAGGGACGTGCACAGACATTTTGGGGGGCGGGGGCTCAAGTGAGAAAAAGGGCCCTTCCCATAATCATTTATAAAAAAATGTTTCAAAACAAAAAGTTAAATATAGTTACAAATCTCTGACTCACTGACCAATTTTTTTTAATGCCCTCACACTCACGCAATTGTTTAATACTCAACAGAATTCTACAAAATAATCAGCTAACAGAGAGACAATGGTCTTCTTTAGTATTCACTGCGCACAAGAGCAGACAACAAACTAGTAAAATGAATAGTTATTAAATGAGCAGCCAACAATCAAAATTAGGAGGTTACTGTTTAAGGCAGGACATTACAGGCAAAAATATTGTTTTTTCATGTAGGCCTACTTGTTATTTTGGTCTATTTTGCTTCCATGTTTTCTTTCACTCTAATGGAAATAAAACACATATAAATGCTGTTCGTTTCACTACCATGTCTGAATTCATCTATAGATTTAAAGCTAATCTGCATTCAAACATTTCAGGGGAAAATACTGACTTGACTTAAGTAACTATCTGGGGAAGTTGTGAGGTGATGTGTTTTTTTGTTTTATCCTATTCACCTGCAATGCCTTGGTAACTGCTCGCACATTAGTGCATTTTAGTTAGGCCTAGTTAACGCCTAATTTGCATATCGGTTTGGCGATTGTGATGACGTTATTAGATACTGTAGTGATCACTAATTAACTAGGTTACATAATTCACACATGTAACTACGGGTTGGGGATATTCTTTCCACACGGACACTTATTGTGTGCCCCCCTTTCTTTTTCCTCTTTGCTTCCCGGTCTTCAAGGCGACCACATGTTCTTTTCTCCTGCTTAATAAAGCCAACTTTGCACCTTCGATGCACCGCCTCCGACTCCCTTCTCTCGGCACTACACATTTTACTGTATTCACCTTTTGTGTCTCCCCTTAAGTTCAGTACATTAGCCTGTATGCCCATGATGCAATGCCTTAGCTAAACCTTGAGCTAACTTATCCATTAGCAAGTAGCCTACCTTAGTTAACTATGTGTTTTTGTCTTTTAGCTAATTATTATTAGCTGTAAACTCGAGGCACTGGCAGCTTAATCATTTGTTCATCTACCTGTCTGTCTGAAGGGACTGTAAGGTGGGAGGTGCTGCTCCCTGTCTGTCTGAAGGGACTGTAAGGTGGGAGGTGCTGCTACCTGTCTGTCTGAAGGGACTGTAAGATGGGAGGTGCTGCTACCTTTCTGTCTGAAGGGACTGTAAGATGGGAGGTGCTGCTCCCTGTCTGTCTGAAGGGACTGTAAGGTGGGAGGTGCTGCTACCTGTCTGTCTGAAGGGACTGTAAGGTGGGAGGTGCTGCTACCTGTCTGTCTGAAGGGACTGTAAGGCGGGAGGTGCTGCTACCTGTCTGTCTGAAGGGACTGTAAGGCGGGAGGTGCTGCTACCTGTCTGTCTGAAGGGACTGTAAGGTGGGAGGTGCTGCTACCTGTCTGTCTGAGGGACCCAGGGAAGTCTGTCTGTCCTGTCGTCGTGGAGGGGGGGAAATGTCAGGGAAGTCTGGTCTGGTCCATCGTCGTGGAGGGGTGGAATGTCAGGGAAAGTCTGTCTGTCCATCGTCGGTTGGAGGGTGAAATGCTCAGCGGAAGTCTGTCTGTCCATCGTCGTGGAAGCGGGTGAAATGTCGAGGGACGAGTCTGTCTGTCCATCGGTCGGTGGAGGGTGGAATGTCGAAGGGAAGGTCTGTCTGTTCCATCGTGGAGAGACGAAATGTCAGGGAAGGCTGTCTGTCCATCGTCGTGGAGGGTGAAAAAATCTGTCAAAGGGGAAAGTCCTGTCTGTCATCGTGGAAAGGGTGGAAATGTCAGGGGAAGTCTGTCTGTCCATCGTTCGTGGAGGGTGAAATGTCAGGGAAGTCTGTCTGTCCATCGTGGAGGTGAAATGTCCAGGGAAGGTCGTGTCTGTCCATCGTCGTGGAGGGTGAACATGGGTCAGGGAAGTCTGTCTGTCCATCGGTGGAAAGGGTACAATGTCAAAGGGAACGTCTGTCTGTCCATCGTCGTCGGAGGGTGGAATGCCAGGGAAGTCTGTCTGTACCATCGTTCGTGGAGGGTGAATGTCAGGGAAGTCTGTCTGTCCGATCGTCGTGGAGGGCGTGAGGGGATGTCAGGGAAGTCCTGCTGTCCATCGTCGGTGGAAGGGTGAAATGTCAGGGAGTCTGTCTGTCCATCGGTCGTTGGAGGGTGAATGTCAGGGAAGTCCTGTCTGTCCGATCGGGTCGTCGAGGGTGGNCCTCTCGTCCAATGAAATGACTTGCTCGCTCTATGACGCGTTGAAACCCATGTGAGCAAATTACTCTGAATGCTGCGACGCAGCACCTGAGATTACTTAAAAAAAGTTGTTCACGTTCTCAATTGTTTATGTTGTACGTTATATTCGTTCGGTACACTTCGGTACACTTCGGTACACACGTGTACCGAACTGAAGGGCCCGGTACGTGTACCGTTACACCCCTAGTATATACGTGTGTGTGTTTGTCTAATTTTACCTTTGTGTGTATTGCGTTTTTTTCCCGGGGAAAACCCTCACGAGAAACACCGGCTGTTGTTATGCCTGCTGTGACGTTACATTACTCCGTTCTCCGCTTGTAATTATGCCGTTACAAGCTTCAAAGTTGTATTTATCATCTGAATTTGCCGAAAAAAGTTTAATATTCTGAAAGCCAAGACTTGGTTTAATTGAAATCAGATGAAAACAAACTGTAAGGGACCCTGCCGTGTTATTTATGATTACTCTACGCTTACATTCATAATGTCAGCCGGAGGGAGGGGGGGCAGCGCTGCGGAAGAGCAGATTGCCTGTCATCTTCCCTTTACAAGCTTAAAGAATGTATTTATCGTGTGAGTTTGGAAATAAAAGTTTCATATTCTGAAAGCCAAGACTTTGTTTGTTTAAAATCCAACAAAACACCCGAACCCCAAAAAAATAGTTTTTTACGCAAATCCACGTTTATTTTGAAATGAGCCGTTGCGACTTCCGACTGATTTCGATAGAGCGGGTCACATATATGTAAGAAGTACAATAGCAGATGTTTAATTTGTGGGTCATATTTCATTATACTGTTTGAATTTGCTGAGGGCCGCAGTGTACTTGGGGGTACAGTGTACTGTGACATACCTTTGTGGTGAGCGACGGGTAGCTCTTGTTGACCTTCCTCAGTCCGTCTAACATCTTGGGCAGCTCTGATGGGTTGACCGGCTCCACTGCGATCTTTATAACCGATGCCGTGTTGAACTTCAGGGATCTGAAAATCTGAGCCTGTCAACGAAAGTGGAGAAGTCAAATATGCTGTTCCTCAAAAGGATCTTTTTGGAATGTATTTCTTAAGTCTTACCTCTTCATTCCCTCTGGGCTCTGTGATGGTGGCGGTCTTGACGATTGGCTGGTCACAACCTTCGATGAGAACCCAGTTTCCGGCAGGCACTCGGTTCACTTCAATTTGGTATCTAATAATGTGGATAGCAGAGTCAGATTGAATTCAAACAAACATTGATTTATTACTCTACAGACATAAAAAAAAACACAGTCCGAGAGCGTACCTGGCAACTGAAATCCAGAGACGGCCCACAGTGCAGACCTGGGAATCCTCCTCGTCTTCCAGGGTGTAGTTCTCTCCTAAAACCTTGACGGGCTGCCCTGAATGAATGGTCCCACTCAGCACTCTGCCAAACGCGTGGAATTGGACCCCATCCTCTGTGCTGTACATCTTAGTGGTGTGGCACATCAAAGGACCCTGAGGGCGACAGGCAGGAGGTGAGCAGGAAAAAAAACGAGAGAGACACAAAAGGAAAGTCTTACCACAGGAATCTTAAGTTGCTTCCTAAAAATACAAAAGGAATTGGACGAAGGGAAGTAGGCCTTTTAATGAAGCTTGGAAACTGGTGATCGATCTCTGGCATTGTCCTTTATTTAGTTATTTAACAGCTTGGATATTTCAAGCCAAATAAAACAACCCATTGCCTAAATCTATTAGAGCAGCTGGAAAACAGATTGCTGCTATTTGCAGTTAAGTGGCGTGTCTGTTTCTCAAACGAAAGACTTGGGCTCTGCTTCCATTATACTCACATCAGGGTCGCACTCTGTCATGGCCTCCCCCAGGTCCGTTTCCATGCCTCCAGTGTACGTGTGCTCTATCTTGTTCTTGGCCCCCTCCTGTGGTGAGGGGATGTGCTGTACACACATGTCCACAAACCCTGCAAGGAACAGATTTGTGCTCCACTTTACATGGTGTTTACCAAAGGCATGACCATTCATCTTCAGATTTAAATAACATTGAGTTAAGCAGCAAGAGTAATACAGACAGTGCTTCTGAAAGTTGCTGCAGAATAGTTAGCTTTTGTGCAAAATATATTTCCTCATATCTCCAAATGCAATAACAAATGATACAAATACAAGACACTTAAAATATGGATAGAAACTAGGCCTTACCAGTGAACTCTCCAAAGAAGCGGTTACAGACCAGCCTCAGTAAGGGTCTGATGTTCAGCTTGAGCTCCTCTTTAGTCAGGTGGATCCCCAGCTCATCCAGAACTCTGGGGAGAGATGTGTCCACATCCCCGACCACCTACACACAAAGAGGATTTGGGTGAGGATTACACACTGAGCTAGAGCCTGATGGGGCTTGAATGTACTGAGTTTGCCATGTTGCAGGGTTACACAAAACGTATGATAGACGTGTCCAACCTGTGAGAGGATCTTGTAGAGAGGCTCAAGGACAAATTCCACAAAGCTGCGCTGAGAGTTACTGTTGGGAGCTTTCTTTGAAAACTTGCGACTGAACAACAAAGAGAGAAGATGTCAGGAACCATGATCATATGTGTTGAGAGACAAGAGGAGCGTTCACACCGGAGTACTTTTTCCCGTACAGTTCCGTTAGTACCCCTTATTTTGCGTTCACACCAAAAAGAGTACTTAGTGCCGGGAACTTTTACCCCCATTTGTAGTGCCTGCTAGAGAGGTGGTACTATCATGGGGAGAAAAAAGTACCAATTTCTATTGGCTGGGCGAATTGCAAACCACGCCCCGTAAAACTTGGAAAAGTTTTGTGAAGCCGCCATTGTATTTGTTGGCATTATTAGCATTAGCATTAGCCCCGCGCACCAACGGAGAGAGAATAACTTATGGCAACACAAAAAAAAAACATGGGATCGGTGGAGTGATGAGGAGGCATCGCGGTTCTGGCAATTTACTGAAGCCAGTCCCCTACTCCGGGGACTTCGGGTGGCAGTATACGCCGTGAAGTGGTTTGCGGCCTGCCAGTAAACCCAAAGCAGAAGACGACAAAGTGATGTCAGCGGCTCATTTGCGTAATCTTCCCTCAGGGAACTTATTCCGGTGTGAACGCGATCTCTACTTAGTTCCATGGGGGCACTAAGTACGGCAAAGTACTTGGTGTGAAAGCGGCCCTTATCACCTGAATCTTCTCTTGGATTTTAAAATTAAATTACATTACATTACATGTCACTTGTTAGACGCTTTTATCCAGAGCGAATGACATACTCAATACTGTGGGCAATCCCCACAGGAGCAATTTGGGGTGAAGCGTCTTGCCCAAGGACACAACGACATGCTGACTGCAGTGGGGTTTGAACCTGTGGCCCCCTGATCCGAACACCAACGCACATCCCACTGCACCACACGCCTCCCATATTATAAACCAATCATCTCTCAGAGGGGCGTGGCCAGCAGCAGCTCAATTGCATTTAAAATGACACAATCCGCACTTTTAAAACAGGGCTGAAACAGAGGGGTTTATGGGATGCTGTAATGCATGATCTGTTTGGTATTTCGAGCCAAAACTTCAGAGACATGTTCTGTGTATATCTGAGAGATATTCTTGACAAAAAGTATAATAGGGGACCTTTAAGTATGATGTTTGACCTTTACTCTGTTTTCCGATCCACCTGATGAAAAGGGAATATTTACGAGTGCTCTTTTTCAGCCTGAGTTCAGGTCCAACAAGGAGAATTCATTTAAAACATAACTAGATAAGCAGCCATCATGGTCCTATAAACAGCTTGTACTGTATATGAAGTTACTGTTGGCAGTGGATCCCTGCAGTAGACATACACTGAGAATGGACTTGTTCGGCCCATTTGAACTGAACCATGTAGCGCACTATTTATTTGTAATGTCATTGTTTAAAAATATATTTTCCTGTTTTGGTTACAGTAGCCTTGGATTTGCGACCAAAATTTTGAGCGATTGCTTCAAATTCACACAAACATCCGCCTTAATTTAAGAATAAGATGATTACATTTTGGTGTTAACAGGTCAACGTCAATGCAACCTTACAAAACAGGTTATTGGCCATACCTCTAGAATGTATGCGCTTATTAATACAATTTCACTCCGTTGTTTTGTATTTCTATTCCGCTGTAGGTCTTTCTGCTCGTGCCTAATAGAGCCAGCAGCCCGGTCTGAGGAGCTACGGGAGCTGGTAGAAGTCAATCTGGAGTTCCAGGTACAACATTTTAAATTATTATTAACCATCCTGCAAGATCAGGATTGATTTTGGGAAATTCCTATTTGAATAAAACACCGTAATGAACAAACTTTTGCATAGGGCCAGTTAATAACCCTCTGGAAGGAATTGCTGTTGTTATGTAAAATAGAGGATACATTGAGTTGTATTGTGCTTTATTCCACAGAAGAGGCTTGAGTTGCTGCTGTTCAGTGACCGGTTCTTCAAGGACGACTTCGCCGTGGTTCTTCAGCCCTTTCTGAAACACGCTGACCCCCCCCGCCTCCCGGTAATCCACCCTCACTCTGAATGAAATCTGAGGAGATGAATTAGTGTGAAATCGCACATTAATTATTGACTAATTAATGAAGTGTGACAGCTGCTTTGTAAACATGAGAAGATCCAACAGCGTTTGTTTTGTCTCTGCACAGAACGGGAAGATCGATATGACCTTCTTCACTCACGACTGCTTTCACTTCACCATTAAGGGACACGAAGAGCTGGCGAAGGGACTGTGGAACAACATGGTGAGCAATGAGTCACACTGCTTGTTTTTAACGAGACAGGAGGTCAAAGGTCAACCATCACCTCCATCACCTCCATTGCAATTCAGGAGGTGTAAAGAAATGACACAAAAGGATGGAACATAAGGAATATTCTAATAGAAACTCTAGATCACAGGCAAAGGGAAATGAAGGACATTTTAAATGATTATTTTTGCATCAAGGTTATTAAATATTTCAAGATTACATTTTTATTTTGTCCTCTTCTTTGTGTTCTGCTTTCCAGTTTCAGCCAGAGGGGGGAAAGATGATCGTGAGCAGCTTCTCCGACCCCATCAGTCTCATCTGTCCTCCCATGGTAAGGCAGTATAAAATCTGTGTTTTTTCCTAAAATATTCAGGATTTCTTTTATTTCATAATGTGTTTTATTGAGAAATAATTACCTAGATGTCTTCATGAAAGTAAAGAATGAAAATAATCTTGCAGAGGTCCGAAACCTTTTCAGGATCACTGAAAAAAAGGAAATGTTGACTTTAATTGAATGTATTATGTCAACAGATTTCACATAACTGCATTAGGTTAGTTGAAAGCATTAACGTTAAGTTTAAATTGAAAAATGCTTCCAAATAACCACCAAATACAGTAATGTGGAATCTGTTGACATAATACATTTAATTAAAGTCAACATTTCAGTTATTCAGGATAGTTACTGGTTAAGATTTCATATCCATTTTATTTTCTAGGAGTTTCTGCTGAAATATTTCTCTGTGATTACATAATGTTTGTTTATTTTCTGTCTTCTGTGTGTCCTCCAATGACTGACATATTTGTCAGAATATTTGAAATACACCAAGGAAATCAGTTCAGAGCAGTCCCTGAACGCAGCTGCCTCACAATGCAGCAAGTTGATTTATTTATTCGTGGCCAACTTTTGTGGAGATTTAGAATATGCACTAGAAATTAAAGCAACAATTATATAATAAAAAAGAAAAAAAAGATTTAAAAAAATGGTGGGGGACGGGTTAAAATGAAAATAATAATACAAAATAAATAATTAAATCCAAATGGGGCAAAAGGAAAAAGAACTAGTGGCCACAACCCTTGGTGTTGTAGATGTCCGTATAATACACTGGGGAATGTGTCATAAATACATTTACATAAATGGATTTGGATAAGATATTTTTCTCTTTAACACCATCATTCGCACTTCTGGTTGGATGTAAACTACATGTCGTTGTCTTGGTACTTGTACTCTGTGCAATGACAATAAAGTTGAATCTAATCTAATAAAGTTGAATATCATCTAATTCCTAGCAAGTGCACAATTCATACCATATCAAGATAAACGCACAGCCACTGAGATTTTGTGAACTCAAACGCAACGGCATCATTTTGAATTGTAATAGACTGTTAAGTAAGATCCATTTTTTAAGTTGTGACACATTTAGCAAGATGTTCAGGCAGAAAATATAGAGCCATAAACGCTAACAATCCCCTTATCTCCATGTCCCTTCTGCAGGAGCACCCGTACATGTTCACCCGGCCCCTGGCAGCCCGCTCCGGTCACCCCCCCCTGCAGTCTGCCACTCTCTCGCAGGCAGCCCTCCTCCTCCTCCTGCTGCTCCTCACAGCTCTGGCATGTCTCCCGGTTGTGTAGCTTTCACTTTTCTGGACTGTTTTCCAGCCTGCCCGTGCTGCGTTGGTTGCTGTTGGGGTTTCAGAGCGATACATATGCAAAGTAGAGTTGGTCAGCCAGACTTTGCAACTGAATACTGAATATTATTATATTTTATTGGCATGTTGAGACTGTTGTAGGTGAGAAGCTTTCTTTGGATGGATCTGTTGCTGGAAGAAAAACATATTTGATATTCTATATGATTTATCAGTCCAAACACACTAACTGAGGGGATGGGGTGGTCCTCAGTTTTCCCCTCATTGGAATAATAAACTCTAGGTGTATTTTTAAGCAACGGTCTGGCTAGTACAGTAGTTGCTTTGAATACACTGTATCACCTAATATAAGTTGCAGATTTTGTAAAGAAGCATGTAGATGAATATTTTGTGAAGTTTGTACATTCATTAATAAAACTAATCAGATTTTGACCAAAATGTTTTTGAAAGTGTTTTTTTGTGTAGGAATCGTGAATTATTTTAGAATGACATTTCTCAGATACATTGTTCTTATATTAACAGAGCTTGTTCTGTTTACTCTTGTTGAATTGCAAATAAAAAGGTTGGAATTTCAGACAAAATGACAAAATGCATCCATCTCTTGTGAATATGATATATGAAAAAGCTTATTAATTAAAATATATTGTTTATATTGTCTTCCTGACAAGTCATCATTGTATCTAAAGTAGTTCAAATGTCTTCTACATATTAGGTAATATATCCTTAAATGCAATTAAAGGGGAATTGTTCTGTATAGTGAAAAGATTAACTTATGATACTTAAGCTACAGTACATTTGGGCTTGTGATATCTTTGTATTAAAGATAAATTCTGGATTTTGTCTTGTTTATATTAATTATTTTACCGAAGCTAAGTACTTCGTCTTCCATTGCTTAAACAGTTCATGTTGTGTTTGAGACACATCTTCCCTTCAGATCTCCAGGCTGCTGCTGGCCCACTTTCACTGCTCTGTCCTGCATTATAATGTGCTGAGCACTCCAAGAGGCCAGGTAATCCACCCCACTGAACAGAAACACTGAATCTCCTACAGACTACCTTATGGTGAGTCATCTGCACACAACCACAACCATTCAGAGTATCTGTGTACCATCACCTTCTACAGATTAGATCTCTATTCATCGTGTTTCTGGTAGAGAGCATGCGGTTTACTATGTGTTGACTCTGTTTGAAGAGTATGACTACGCGGGCAGGTGGAAGCTATATTAAGCTCAGCTCAGGTTTGCTCAGAAATGATAATTAAGCTCTTGAATGGAAATGAAAAGCAGGCTGCGTGTGGACTCAGCATGGTTGGGTTGAGATGTAAAGAACAGAATGGGATGTTTTTCTAAGATAAACATGTCTCTCAGAAAGCAGGGAAAACCTTTTGGACGTTCACTTTGAATAGGAGACATGTGTTTTAATTTATTGAGTGAGCCCTTTTACAATATGTTGTTTTTTCTAATTTCTAACTTTGGATCCATTTCAGTCCATTCACGTAGCTGGTGGATTTGATTATGACTGCATTCAAAGAAAAACCCTCTCCATGTTTAAACAAAGCCGTCGCTGGTTTATGCGAGACAAATATAGAACTGACGCAAATTGTCCTTTTATTGTCTCTTTGAAGGGTAATGAGATCTCTGGGATCTCAATGGATGCCGCAGGAGGAAATTTGAAACAACAAACAGTCCTACGCTCACCCTGGAAACCTCTTTGTCTGTCAGGTTTTTAATGAATGTGTCAGTAACAAAAGAAAAAATGACCTCATAGATCTAAGTACACCTGGGACTTGCTGCTTATGAGGTAAAAAGAGAGCAAACCGTTTTAGGATGCTCAACAGGTTGGTAGTAATCTGTTTGTGAAGACAGACCTTTAAATGAGAAACATCAACCTTAATTATGCACTATTACATTTGATTAATTCAAACAGGCCATTTAATAATACTTCAACGGGCCCTGTTGTGCTATTTGGAGTTTCAATCAAAGCAGACTGGGCTCTGGTTTCAGACAGAGGGTGAAAAGAGGTGCAGCAGCTTTTTGAACATTAAAGCATGTTAACATTTCAAAGTAGAGGCACAAAATACAATTATGAAGCTGAACATTAACATAATATGTCCTCTTTAACACTATAACCAGACATGCTTAAGGAATACACAATCAAATCAATGATAACCATTACGTTATCAATCATATATAATGACTTCATACAATAATCTTTGAATTGACGAAATGGAGGCGTGACAAAACAGTATGGCAAAATAGAACTCTCTAGCAATAGTTCTCAAATCTAATCGTAATTCCCATTTGTACATATAAATAGTATAACGCTCGATGAACACATTCTGAGACATGCTTTCAAACTTCTAGAGGATTTGAAACATTGTGGAAGTTATACGATACGATACACTTTATTGTCCCCGTAAGGACATTTGTTCTGGACTCCGTCCTGCGGTTCCGCATACATGTACATATACAAACATTTACCTAAGTTGATAGGTACATGAGTTATTTACATGGCCTAAGAAAGTGAACTTGTGAACATGAGCAACTGTCTCAAATCCAGAGCTGCTTCATAGACAATGAATATGGGACTGGTTGTGTTGTTTTTCATAAAATAACCTAAATTAGGTTTTTTTCTTTAAACGTGTTCTCGGTTGTGAAACAGAAAATGTACCGGATTTGATATTTAATGTTTTTAGTGTTCATGTTTGCTATTCATTTTGGACATTGTAAGGCCATAGGACTAATGTAAGAATAAGAAAATGTGTTTATAGTTTCCCTTTAACTAATCCCATGAAGTCATGATGATTTGATCATTTCTTCATGGTGCGCACAATTTATTTCACTTCATCTAATCCATTAAGTACTATTAATAAATTACAACACGTAGTTATAGCAACATATATCCTGCATCTAGTCTATTATGTCACACAGTTTAAATCCTGTTCCCATTTGTCTCTGATAAGAAGGGTAAATGCTGCTTTTCATGGCATTTCTGTATTCAAGCCAATAGCTCACATGATCAGAGCAGGAACAGTTACAGTGAAGACAGCAATCATTTTCAATAAACCGTCACCTAGCAACACATTCAGCCAGCCAGGAGACATGATCAGCAAACACAGTGTGATGATAGGGCTTTGTCCTGCATGGAAACACTACATAATGAAGACTGCAACGTCATAGATTGTAAAATAAATTCAAACATATAATTTTAATTTTACTTGAACATGTAGGCCTACATCATGTATTCAAAAAGACACTACACATTAAACAAAAAATAATGACGATTGTCTGTAGTTGTGCAGGAGAGGTTGAAAGCCAAACAAATATTATAAAGATATTAACAATCGTTAAAATATGTTTAATATATATATAATATATTAAAAAAAAATTAAAGAAAAAAGATCATGACCTGGCTTATGTGAAGTTCCACTAAAACGCCTGAGACGCTCTGTCCCAGTGTCTTAAAGGAATTGTGTTCAACATTTTTACTTCTTATGATTATATACATATTTGTTTGTTTTTTCTTACATGGAGCAACTGTCAAGAACCTTATTTTCCCCTGGGATTAATAAAGCATAGTTTGATTATTAATTGTTTCACTAATGAAAGCGTTTTTCAGATTTTTTAACAATGATATTAAAGAGATGAAAGTAGGCTGTTTTCCAAAGAGATCGTCCTCTGCATTTAATTATATTTCTAAAAATGTTCCGCTAGATTAAGGGCATTTTCCAATGATGCAATGGGTCACTGACTGCAGTATAGTGTAACAACTTTCATAAAGAAAAACAAAACTGATTTTAGAAACTAGCAGTGTGAATACTTCCATAGTTGATAAGTCCTGTAAACCTGTAAACGCCCTGACAAACATGTAGGTAAAACCAGCAGGTACGATACGGATAATTTGCCTCGGGATGACGTCACTTCCGCTCTCCGCACCGTGCTATAAAAGCGGGAGCTGTTGCGGCGAGTCGTCGGTGGAGAGAGAGAAGAGGCTGCCGGTTCTCAGATGCTGCTGCAGGATATTTAGCTCTCCAGAAATACAGAAAAGTGGCCTAGTTTAGTTCAGGATGCGTCCGTAAAAACCCACCAAGTGTCCTTAGAGGGGTTACAATCGAACCTTCTGATATAAGCTTTGCTTCTTTCATATTCCTGGAGAGCTTTATGCACCTCGTTTCCAAACATGATCGGGAGAGGACTGTTCGTTTTGACTCTACTGTCAAGCTGCGGTAAGGAAATGCTCATTGACGTTAAGTGACATCATTCTGTTGGTGTAGGTTTCTGTTTCCTGCATTAGAGACGGACTGGCTCAGCACCAAGGACAGCGACACACGTCTTTAATTGCGGCGGAAGCTGGAGTGAATGCACCTGCACCTTTTGGCACATTCAGTCCCCTGCTGTCACTGTGTTTTAGTAACAGTGGGAATAGCTTCGGGCATTATAACAAATCATGATTAATATTTTCCTCCTTTTCTTTGCAGTTCTGTCATTGCCAGTGACTCCAAGTCAGCTGGAGAATGAGGACGTGAAGGTAAAGATTTTGTGATCATCATCAACATTATTATTTTTATTGATAAAGGTGAATTACATGTGCTTCTTTGTCACAGTGGGACTACTAGCAGCATTCACAAGGCAATCTGGGATTATGAATACTTAATTCAAGCAATTTAACTCACTTAACTATATTTTCTGCTGGAGGCAATTTCAGTATAACCACATTAGAAATTAATTCTAAGAGAAATGGAGGGCCTTTACCTGTGCGAGTTCACATATTGATGGAGGGAGAGAGGCAGTTTCTAGAACAGGTTTAGAGAGACAAGAGAATGAAGGCGAGATATGGACGATGTGTAAAAGAGAGGGATGGGAGTTGGCTGAGGGACTTTCAAAGACAGGGAGCTTTGAATAGCATGAATGAGTGAATATATGATCCGGCCAGTGGCTTGACATTAAAAGCAGAATGGGAGTTGGAATTATTTTTGATCATCCTTCTGAGAGTTTCCCTTATTTTAATTACTGGTTGAAGATCTGCATTCAAACTGTTCAGCACATGGAGATGTATTCCTGTATCACCAAGTGGAGGACTTTAAAAAAAAAGAAGAAAAAAAGGAGAATCCTTCATTCGCAGCATATCAGACATTTCAGATTGTCACAGAAAAAGGTTTTGAAGTCATTTTGTTGCTGTGTGTGTCTGCAGGTGATGAAATGCATTGTGGAGGCGTTGGCAGATGTCCTCTCGAGACCCCGCCCCGAACCTGTCAGTCAGGAGTGTTTGACCACGCTGAAGACAGGTGAGACACACCCAGAGGACAGACACTGTATTTATCTCAGTTTGATAATGTTAATGTTATTAATTGTAATGAATGTTAATAGAAAATTAGTTGAAGAGTTAGATTTAAGTGTTTTTCTAAACTTCCATTAAAGACATCACAAGAGATCACACAGAGATCACAAGCCAATACATTTCTAATCTTGAGAAAAGGACTATAATCAAGTAGTAGCGACTATTGATCAACGCATGACACTGTCAAGGTCAAACACAGATTTGTCCTTGTCATTTTAGGAGAAAACTAAATTATACATTTATGCCTGGACTT